CTTGTACAGGGTGTCTTATTTTCGGCACTCTTTTTCTTGCACGCGACTTTTGTGGAAAGTATGCCCTCTGAACTAATGCAAAATACGCATTTTCGTCACGTACTCAACTTTTCGCAAAACGAAACTAAACTTTTAGGTCTGTGAGATGGTGGCAACACTGTAACGTTTCGACTCTTATCTATCCGAACACTCGTTTCTTATCTTAAGACGCTTTATTTTCTCGAATACGATTTTTGTTCTCTTTCATTATAGAGCGCTACACCTAACAGTAATTTTGTAAATTTGACTCTAAAGTTTAAAGCGACCAGCTGTTACAGAGTAATATTTTTGATCTTGTATCATTTGAAAACAAAATCAGGATTATTAGTAGGTACGAACGGGCATATCAGTTTTACTTTTAAACGACAAGTTACTATACTCCGTCCTATCAAAAAAGTAATATACGGGTCATGCTCTTTTTGAAATTTTATCTCACTCAAGAGATATTGGGAGGGGAAGGGGGGGCAAAAATATCAGTTTCAGAATGACCCTATATTTTGTTAAATAGTTAAAGAAGAGATATGTCTTATACAGGGTGTTTTTTCGGAGCTTCAGTTAAAGGTTTCTGGGAAAGTAAAATAGGTAGGTTTTTAAAAATGTGTACTTAGGAGTTACTCTGAAGGCCGAATCGATGTAACATATTTTTAAAATGGCCGAACTTCCGGTAGTAACTTCGTTATTTTAAATGGCAACCCCTATTTTCTATTGCATTTTTGGATTCTACCTGAAATTTCAGTTCTTTTGATACCCACATGGCAATATCTACCATTTATGGTTTTTTTTGACTTTAAGAAAACAAATGGCGGATGCGGATGGTACTTTGATAATTGATTGCTTGAAAACGGTTGTAACTTGTAGTCATGGCAACCCATTTTTACCAGTGCATAGAGAATGAATAGGGCTTTCTTTTAATGTACTTAAAAAAAATTAAGTTGCGGACAACCGCACCCATGGAGTTCCAAAGTTATGAAACTTCAAAGACTAAAAATTTAGTTTTACTTCCGTTATTTCCGGCATTTTGAAAATATTTTACATCGATTCGGTCTTCGGAGTAACTTCTAAGTAGACATTTTTACAAACCTACCTGTTTTACTTTCCCAGAAACGTTCAACTAAAGCTACCAAAAAAACACCCTGTATACAATATACGAGACAATATACAAACAATAAGTAAAAAAGTTTTTTATAATGGAATATTCTGAAGATATCATACATAATTCCCTTTTCACAAATGTCACACAAAAAAGAAAAACTCCAAAAAATAAGATACAAAAAAGTCAAAGAAAGTCAAAAATATTTTTGAGATATTTTTTGATTACTTTTAAATTACTTGAATTTTTTAATACCTATCATCCAGCATGCTGTGTTAATACCTATACACACTTAGAAAAAAGAATTTAACGTGGTATCTTTTTAGATTAAAATGTAGGGCTTTCCATTAAAAAAATAGGTTAAATCCGGTAATTTTTTACCTGACGCCGTATACTGATTCCTAAAACGACAGATAAAACAACAAAAATTTAAAAAAAAATTTTTTGATCATTTTGAACCACTTGAACCTTTTTTGAATTGTTTAAAAGCTTCTTTTTAAACCTTTTTGAATCACTTCACTTTTTTAATATTATTCATAGTGTTAGCTATTTTTTTAAATATAATTTATTATCCTCTTTTTACATTAAAATATACAGAGCATTCCACTCAAAAAAATTAGGTTAAATCTGATAATCCCGTTTACTTAATACGGGGACAGGTCCTAAAAACGGGAGATTATACAACAATCATTATAAAGAAGGTTTTGTATGCAACATTTTTCTGTATCTCTCCTAAGAACTAAGAAGATAGGGTCATTTTTCATTATGGAGATATCTTATGAGTAATAGGGTACATGACAGTGGAAAAAGAATAAATAAATTTCTGATTTATAAGATAGAGTAAGGTGTCAGGGTATCGCAAAATAACTTTCTTTGGTAATGTACACGAGAAACTATTATATTTTAGTAAAACTAAAATTAAAAAATAACGACATTTCTCACGTGATATCAAACGCCAATCAGAGAGCGTGGCGTCATTATCCTAATCCTAAAGTTTGTCTACGTTTTTAATTTAGTGCTTTTGATCCTTTTTATAGTGATTATATTATCCTAAAGTTTAGTTTTTAAAACCAGATAAGAATGGAAAGTGAGTATACGAATGCTGATAGCAGCAAATCTGCCAAACATTGATGAAATGATGTTGGGAATATTTCTTGCATCAAACACAGATTTTTGTTCATCAGAAAACTGCCATAAGTCTTGTAGGTTTTTAAGTTAAGCTTAGATTTTTTACAAGAAATGTAGTTATTTAAAAGGAATGTGTACTTAAGATGCCTTGGTTTTAGGTCATCGAAGCTATCATATGGAGATCATTCAGTAAGCTATGTCCACTTTAAGAGTTTTCTGTTACGAACATTTTGGAGATAAAGGTCTAAATTTATAAAGTAGTTCTTAAAACAATTTTTTTTAGAAACAGTTTTTATGGCGGACACTCTTATGGAGCCTTACATTGGGTGCAGTCGAATAGAAGACTCTGGCAACTTATTCACAGCTAAGTCAAAATATGCCCGCAACATACGGTTCACGCAAAGCTGTATGCAGTTTCCTTAGTTGTCGACGAAGAAAACAATTATTTTCTTTGCCATACCATCAAGCTACTTTTACAACCCTTCAGAGTCCAAAGGAGTACTAGTGTCGATAAAGTCTCCTTTATCACATTTAACAAGTCATGATCTAGTCCGATTATTCGAAACTCTATGGGAAAATGGCTGAATCGGATTCGGAAGTTGTCCAAATTGTCGTCTACCGCACGCCTCAGGGTGAAAAATGTGCTACTCATGTCGATATAGTTTTCTATATTACGTTTAATGAGCAGTCGTCGAAAACCCTTTTGGATTTCTCTACTCCATGAAGCATTTGAATGATACAGCATCCTTGGAACCAGATTTACCCGCCTGGGATACTTAGCTGTGTCACAGAAAAATATGACTACTGAGCCCTACACCACGACAAAGTGTACTCCATGGTAGGGCACCACTTACGGTAGTTATAATTCATCACGAAATCTTTTAAACTATTTACGCTGGGGTTATGCGTTGTCAGGGCTGTGACGTCACAGACACCGCGCCATGACACAAAACAGCGTTTTGGCGCTAGAACAAAAATTTACAATTGAAATTGCATAAATTTGCAATAATATGATTTATTTTGCTGAAATATCATATTTTAAAGTTATATTAGAGGTATACGAACAGTTATAACTGGTTTTTAAAAAATTGTCATCTACCCTATTGTGTTGATTAGCGATGTTTTTTGGTGTTGAAAGCGGCCTGCTTCCTTAGTTGTTACTTTGCTCCCCTCTACCAGCCAAATTTTTATTACTTACTTTTAATGATAGAGTGTACAGCGACTTGTTCTTCTAGGAGCGCATCTGCTAGTACTTTGGTACATGGATTTAGTCCAGCTAGTAGGACACCTTTTCGTTAATAAGCGGTCCGTCCAAACTACCTACCTATCTGGTTCCGAGATCTCCATGGTGGCCCTCGAATTTGAATCAGCCTGTATAAGTACAGCAGTAATGTCATAGATAAACCACCCAATTTATCTATTTTAATGTATTTTGACAATTTACTATAGGTAATTTGCCTTACCAGATTACTTTCCCAAAGTAATTTAAGAATTATCATAAATGATTAAAAAAATTACTGGAATTACCTATTGTCAAAATAGGAAGTACTTTGAACGACCAGAAGTGATTAACGGAAATTGATTTTTGAAACGCAAACAGATCGATCACATTAAAAACGTGACCGCGCGATTATTTTTGACTTATTTAAAAAAAATGAGGTTAATTTTCACTACCACTCGAACGACGATAAGATACTGGGTGGCGCTGTTAATCTTAAAAGCCAATCACTTCCAATCGTATTTTTCATGCGGCGGCTTAGGCAAAAAGTCAATTGGCGAATGTAAGTGTATAAAAAAAATGGTCAGGTTTTGTAACGGTGACGCGCTGACGCTCCGAGTTTTATTTAATATCGTTATCTTTAGTGTATTTAACTTTCCGAAATTTTAAAAGGAGGTACATTCGTGATAAAAGTAGATGAGCATAGCGATGAGTCGCGCGAATTTATTCGGCGATACAAGTGCGTTCAGGTGGAGGGTGAAATTGTTTGTACTAAACATGTATAAGTAAAAAAAAGTGTCTACATGTGTAAATATCACAATGGGAGATATAGATTACGATAACAATGTTGATTAGCGCTAACGGGAGTTTTTTAGTTCAATCGAAGTTCGATTGTAAAGTGTCTCTTGAATTAGAAAAGTGTGGTGGAAGTGGGTTTATTTGTAAAAAAAATAAATAGCAGAAGCCGGTTGGGTCGCCTTATCAAATTCAAGTCATAATTAACGAGAGTCAAAATAAAAGTGACAATTAAGAAAAAGTTTTCAACAGACAGACGACGTAGTATACAAACCAATTAGCGAACAAGCAACAATTAGCACCTACTAATTAGTATTATATAATACATGTGTTCGCGACTGTTGCTACTTAAACGGACCTGTCGGTGTATAAAGCACTTCAGCAGTTATTGATAAAAATTGAAGGATAAGGAGATTGCGAGCGCGTTTATCCTACGACCTATTGTTGTCGGAATTGTTTCATAACGGGTGGTGATGGGAGTATCTCTTTCCTACCCGCTTGGGGCGCTACGCCAAAAGAAAAATTTGAAAAGCGAAGATGTGCTAGGAGGCCGCTAATAACTGGTTCGTTGTCGCGGCGAGCGAAATTTCTAGGCCGCTATTGGACGACCAGAAGTGGTATTCGTAAAAGATCCTTTTAGTGAGGGTGGCATCCTTCAGGATTTCAGGATTAGAGGAAGGAGTTCTCAGAGTAGGGGAACTCTACAAAGGCGCAAGTTGCGCTTTCAGCGCAATCAGTTTACAGCAAGTTAGCGACGTGTTCGTATGATATAAATATTCTTGCTCTATCATAAGTGTCACCGTATTACATAAATACAACCGGTGCCTAAGATGCTTTAACTTTCATTGCTTTTTAATGTAATTGCGATAAGAACTTGTTTAAATATACTCTATTTTGTGGTGCTGTGTAGTGATAAGTGCAGTAATCATGAAGCGTTTTTTTCCCGGTTATTTAGAGCTACTCTTCTTAGTGATGAGCATTGCATACAATGCAGATGCGCGTTCCAAATCACCCCTCATGGATGACGAAGGTGGAAGGACGAAAAATAAGGCCGCAGGTACGTTTAATTAATTTTCCCTCCCAAATGCATTACTACCGAATCCGTACTAATTGGCGAGGTGGGAATAATTACACGGACATTATCGGCCCTCCTTTTTAATTTCCAAGTCCGGCCAGACGGTTACAAAACCATCATCGCGTTTCGAATAAATCAGTTAGTCAAAAATAATCGCGTGGCTTACCGTCTAAAATTAAAAAGCGCTTTTTAATGGCTGGAGGATGGTCAACTCGATGTATTAAAAACCGCGACTTCCTAACTGCATTGAAGGTAAACTCAAGGTTGTTTCAAAGGACACTCGAAGCCCTATAATTGCTACCGCAAATTCGCACTCTCCGTTTTGCGCTTTATTTGATAAAAAACAACTTTCTTTTTTCGCGAAAGAGAAATCGGCGGGAACGCATGTGTTATCTCTTTTATTGATGCACCTTTTTTCGCTTCATTTTTATTACCCACAGTCTATTAATCCGCAAAATTATCCGTGACCATACTTAATTATATCCAAAACCTTGAAATATATTATTTTATAAACCTCAAGGAGAGAGAAAAATCATGAGTCTTCCTTCGGCTGTTTTATAATGCTAATGAGATCTCATATATGGAGTTTTGCAATTGTATTTAATGGTACACATTTTTTCTCGTTAATTTTATCTATGTATGTAAACATTGTTAATTATATACCTCTCGCTTTATCAGCATTGTGTTGCCTACGCTCTTGAGGCCCATGCTGTCTGTTAAAAAGTTAATTTTGATAATCTTCTGTTATGAATGTCATAATAGTTTTAATTTGTGCACAGTACAGCACAGACGGAGCTTTTTGAAGTGTCAACGAAAAACACACAAATTAAATGGCGAAAGACCAAATTTAGAACCTTTTTAATAATCAAAATTTCTTTGACATTTTGCTCCACTTCGATTGTCATAGATTTCGTCATCCATTGTAGGGTAGGTTTACAATGGTTGTACCTTATATAATATGTTTTGACAAAAAGCGTTCAAAACAGCAATTGAAATAAAAACAAAAAAACCACTAAAACATTAATTTAGTCTTCTACAATATTTTTTGATTGATCATAATATTTTACAAATGAAGGTGTAATCAGTGTAATAAAACAAGGTAGTAAAATGACAAAGTTGTATTTTTGTATAAATTTGCACTCTAGTTTTAGTCGAATTATGGGAATGAATAAAATTTCTAATAAACTACATAGAAGCTACATATCATCGGATCTCTTGGAACTCGCATTCAAACAGAGTTTTTTACATTTTTCTTATTCGGAGTACCATTTCGCGCCTCCCTTATTGGTCACGATTATTTAAGATATACGGAAGATACGGTCGTAATTAAATTGGAGTAAAGTTGCTAAATTTAACAGCGAATGTTAAAATGTTGTTTCGATTAAAATACTTAATTGTTCAATTTTCGAGAGTTCGTTGAGCACAAAAAACGACAGTGGTTGTCAAATTTACTTGTTTTAATAATTTACAATTTAATTATTCAAATACAGTAAAAAGGGAAATGGAAATTTAAATAATAACTAAAGCCGCTCGTTTCGTTCTCGTTGTAATTAATAGCGCTGATTCCATGCTGATTTTTAACATATTGTTTCTCGGATTTATTTCTTGTAACAGCTCTCTTTTGTAGTACTCTCTTGAAAGTTGAACAATTAGGTACCTACTTTACTAAAAACAGTAGAAAATTATAGTGTGCTACATCATTTTAATCAAAGGAAAAATCTAGTGCTCTACCAAAAATTTGGATTTATTAGGCAGATTTACGTCCGATATTTTTCATTCGCTTCGCAATGCTCGATAAAAATGTATACAAAAATTACACGTTGCACCACCCCCTTGGTTTTATTAATAATACTTGTTATTTTATGATATTAACTGAGGGGTATTTCAGTTGTACAGATTCTGTGTAGTAGGCACAAAACAGTAATTGTCTTTGGTGCTCAGTTATAAATACATATACAGTATACCTATATACACTGTGTTCCAAAATATGAGGAACACCTCAATATCTTTTGTTTGGCGAGATATGAAAAATTTGTGAAATATAATTTATATGTGACATTATGATGTATTCGATCGCAGATTGAATCTTCCGGTTCACTTCAGGTTTAACCGGAATTGGAGGCAACTTGTTTTTCAAATATATTGACTATGTACGAGAACATGCAGTATGCATACGGTTGATATACAACAAAATGGAAAAAGTCGTGATTCAATATTTAGAAAACTTCTAAAATCTAGCATGCCGTGTGCTGTCATGATGCGCGGTGTTTGTTGTTTTACACAGAAAAGATTTACATCAACTTGTTCAATTTGACGATTTGTACGAGGTTTTGTAGATTTACTTTTGCGCGATACGATCTCCCCGTGTAACATAATAGACACCACGCATCCTGACAGCACATGGTATGCTAGATTTCATGTTTTCAAAATATTGAATCATTGACAATATGGATATTCTATGTTGTCGTACGGTAAATTGATTGCTCTTTTTAAATATCATATAAAACATAGTCATTGTATTTGAGAAACAAAAGTTGCATCGATTTCTGGTTTAACAGGAAGTGATACCGGGAATGTCAATATACCATCGTGATGTAGCATACAAAATTATATTCGATCATTTTTTCGAATTTCGGCAAATAAAAGAGATATTGGGGTGGCACTATTATCTCGAACACACTGTATAACATACCAGGTGATACATTTATCTTGAAACGAGCCAGTTGTAATCATTTTCTTTCGATCATACAAAGGTTGTATAATTCTAAGAGGGCTAATGGGTGATGATCTTGATCTCGACCTACTTCAGAATTCTGAATGATCCCTCTAATTTTGTACTGTAAATCTCTGATCATCCCTACCATCGTACACCTAAGAGCCCTACTCTATTTTCACTTTAAATGTAATTGATAGATGTTTGATAGTAAAATTTCACGATTTTTTCATTACCGCGTTCAAAACAAGGGGATTAAACGGTCAGAAGTGGACGGTTCCCATTAGCATCTTCTATGGGCACTTTTTTTTCGGAGAATCTGAATCTGTTATCGGAATTTCCATATCACGCTAGATGTAGGCTACTATTTTCATATTTCTTATGGACGCCATATTGGATTTTTACCTCGATTTTTACAGAATGATTTAGAGGACACAAAAGAAAATAGTGATGTTTTCAAACCGGTTATTACATCTTGCTCAATCAATGATGGCGTTTTTGTTTTCTATCTCATTCTGTAAAATTTGACATTTTCAGTTTTTAGGTGATATCTCGGTTATTTTTAAAGATTTTTCAAACACTTCAAATTCATTTTTTCAGTCACAAAAAGGGCTACTTTCATTTAACCTACACTGTATCTCTCACCGTTACGGAGATCCCAATGATGAACCACGAATTTGAAGCGCCCTGTACACATTTAAATAAACCGGTTCATTAACTGGCTATATAGGTATCTCAGTTACCTACGAGAATTCAGCACATGTTTTTAGGAACTTTTCTGCACAAAATGAACAAATCTATAAGGTATTAACGTATGCACCATTCCTCATGAAACACCCTGTATAGAGATCTCGATTGTTTTTTTTATAAGATTTCTGATTTATTCTCGGGTTTACTTCAATAATCAAGAAAATCGAGAAAAAAATTGGGAAAATATGTACTACTCATTAGACATCCACAGTACCAGAGCACTGTCATAAATGTATTACATCTAATCTACATAAATATTTGGCTAATAAAATATTTGAATCTTTACTCTCCCCCAAAACTTTGATTGCATCCATCTGTTGGTGGAGTAAGTTTACCTTATGTCTTTATTACTGTAATATCACGGGTGTGTAACCTTAGCCGAGCTATTCGCGATTATGTAGTTTGATTTATACGAATGCATAATTAGGCGCCAATTATTAGTATATTACTTAAGTGGAATTTTGCACTCTTATTAAGTAAGATAAAATGCGAAGAATCGCATACGATTTTCATCAGTAGTGGAATTTTTTGGCACCCGGCTCGCATTCGGAAACCAGATTTTGAATCCGGCTCATATTGAATAGCACTTATTTGATATTTCTGAACTCGAGCTCCATCATGCATGCGCACATTTAATTTATGCGAATTGCGATGTTTATTTTTACTAGAAGCGTCTATGGTTAAAATTTTTAAGAAATCTTCATAAGTAAAAAAGTTGTCATTTTGCAGTCAAAGCGAGAGTCTGCGCATATTTTATTTTTATATATATAGTATGTGCGATTTGTGTACTTTTGCTAATGACATTTGTAGTTTTCCATTTTTACTACACGTGATATGTTTTTCTTTACTACAAGCATCTATGGTTAAAATTTCAAAGAAATATCTTCATAAATAAGGAATGGCACTGTACAGGATGGGCATGGACCGCGCATGCGCACATTAATCTGACGTTTACTTTTACTAAAAGAGTCCTTGGTTATAATTTCAAAGAAATATCTCCATAAATAATAAAGTTGGCATTGCGCACATTTGATGTTTACTATATGCGATATATTTGCCTTTACTAGAAGTATCTGTGGTTAAAATTTCAACAAAATATATTAATAAATAAGAAAGTGGATATTGCGCAGCCTGCGCATGCGCACATTAATCGTGCTTTTCTTGGCTCAGGTGCCGTAGTCTCGGCCATAGCTATAAAGTACCGAATTCAAACAGAACGAACTACATACATATATTGAAAACTGTAGGAGTAGTTAAGTCTCGAGTTACGTCCTCGTACGGACACGCAGACGGACGGACGGTGGCAACAATAGCGCACCCAACTTCTTCGTTGGAAAATGAAGTACATGCAGAGTCAGGTAAGAAAGTCAAGGGACGTATCCTCATTTTTTTAAATGGAACACCTGTATAATTTAAAATAAATAGATAATACGCTAACTATTCTTTCCAAAAATATCACTAAAAAATTTAACAAATTAAAAAAATGTACATAAAAATTTAAGGAATTTGAACCTTTTTT